CTCAGTGAATATGTGGTTATCATGTACATACAGTTCTGCTCAGTTATCTGCTCATCAGGACAAGTTATTCATATGTAATACATGCTGTAACTTCTTTCAGATTGAAAAAAGCTTCCAACAGATTGACTACATACACTGACTCAATGTTTTGGTGTGATCTCATCAACTCAACTGCATGTAACACACTTTCTGTTACTAAGACATAGCTTCAACAATATTGCCTGAGCAGCTACAGAATTATATGTAGTGAATTTTTGGGAAAAAAAATTCAAAGTCGAAAAAGTTACATGTGGTATAACATGTGATTTATTTATTCTGATGGGCAAAAAACTGAGCAGACCTGTATGTACATGATAGACAACTATTGACTTAGCTTGCTGCACATATGTAGTGTGGGTGAAATGGCCCAGGTGTGCAGTATTAGATTCTTTTATGAAAAACTGTACTATTAATCATTTTCCTCTGCCAAATTGGGGAAGTTGAATGATGTTTACAGTGAAGCTGGTAACGTATCGATTGGCCGGAACCTCGGGGGCAAGCTTCCACCAGACACGTTCAGACCCTTCGCCGTCAGACTTGCCCCAACCTTTATTTTTTCAAGGGTCATAGGCCAGCTGACAACCATATGCGTGAGCATATGAATGGAAGGCACCCACAGCATACTTCATCCTACCAGCCTGCCTTTCATCTTCAAAGAGCTTGTGCTGTTTATAGTTTGTAAGGTATTATTAACTGCGTTGAACCCCTGTACAAAAAAACCAAAACTTACCCGGACAATACCTTTCTCAAGGTTGCAACCGACATCGTAAATGACACCGGTAGTTTTAGGTGGTCCTTCTGCACTGCGAAGTTGATCAAACAACCAGTCAATCAGAGCGTGAGCGAAGTAGGCTCTAAATACAAACAAATGATGGGAAACAAATTCAGTTCTGGTAGATACGATTGATGATCAAGTGGGCACGGACTTTTCACCACTCTGGACCACGTTCACATAGGCCAGGATGTTGTCGTGTCTACAGCACATGCCCGATAAACCTGTGTCATCGCAAGCTCTCCAAGATTTACCGTCGCGTTGATCGTTTGCTGCAGTGTGTGAAGCGGTACATTGGTCCTAGTTGCAAACCAATAGTTAGCTCACGTCCTACAGAAAGAACAGTAACAAATAAACTTACATTAGTTAACTTTACATTAGGCTCTGGTTGTTGAGACCATTTATTGAGTCGATCGTCCGATAAGAAGAGTGCTGGAGTATGCTTTTCAATTAAGTCCAATTCAACACTGGCAGACTTATGACGTCGTTGTTGAAAGTTACAATCAAGGCATACAAGTACGTCAGGTTCGCCTTGGTGAAGGGTTCCTGAAAATCTGCCGAAACATCTTGAGCAATTCGATTGAAGCTTCTCAAAAGGAGTTAGTCGAAGGCTTTGTTCCTTCAGTTCTTTGTCCAATCGTAGCATCTCACAATAGATATCCACAGCAGCTGTGAGATTGAATCTCCAAGCTCTGGCCTGGAAAAAGGTGTCGCAAATCACATCAAAATCAATAATACAAAGATGAATTGAAAAGGTACCAGGAATACTCACATATTTCCCGTTCCTTGACCAAAGGATTGGATTACTTGGGTCAAGGAACTCATTGATGGCCTGAGCAAAAGGTTGCATTCGGACATTACAATACTTCCAAAGACAGTCATGGAGGCGAAGTAAGCAAATCGAAAAGGCTGTTTGGGGATGGACGGGTGATCCGCCAATGTAACCCATTTTAATCAGTCGGATCTGATCAGGTTGGCATGAGCAAAAGGTAACTTGAACTCTCGATCGACCTGCGTAGAAAGAGTTTAGTTTATATACAATCAATAATACCAGAAGGCATATGATCTCACTAAATATGTCAATTAAATCTATGTATCGAGTGGTTTTTCTTCTACTGTTACAATAGCAGGCCTCTTTGAAGTCTTGATTCCACAGGTCAGGGCGGCCCCAATATAAGGTCTTATATCGACATTTCATGAACGTCACAAACATACGCTTCGTGATATCCTTCCACAATGCCGCTTCCCGGATACGCCGTTGTTGATATGATTCACTTGAGATAAGTTGTACATAAGCAGGACCTGGCGCGTTCTCCGGTTCTGAATCAACGTCCGAATCCGAAGAACCAGAGGATTTGACTGAGTCTTTGTTGTAGTCGTGATTTAGATCATAGTAACCATTGGGCATTTGATCGTCATCATGAAAGGGAGAGTCGAGGTCGTCTGGTTGAGTGATGGCTTGAGATAGCAGATCAATCAAAGGCTCTACATAATCAAGCTCCATGGCCTCGAATTCTGCCAGCCGTTGAGCAGATGCACTTTGGTTCCTGGTGTTACGATTCTGAACTCGTCCGCCCAGTGGGCAAGGCACCCGAGAATCAGCCATAGATAGATAGTAGCAAAATAATTTTAAAAGAATTTAACACGTCAGGCTATTTGGAATGAAATCCTGACGATATCAGGCTCTTTTCCTTTTTGGGGATGATTTGTCCCCAAAACATTCCGTCAATCAATATCGATTGACGGTGGATTGACAGCCCCTTCCACAATTCAATCGTAGATTAGTGTGTTATTCCTGGAGGTTTGGCACTAGACCAATGTGGCAGCCTGGCAAATCGCACGACAAGGTGTACTCAAGCCACTTCCACAGAGTAAGTTCCCGCACTGATCCTCCCCACGGCAGTTGTGAAGAGGTACCAGATGGAATTTCGTCACTGTGGTTGAGGTTCTTGAAAGTTTTCATTGATTGACATATTCCATCAAATCTATCAGTTTTGATTTCTGTGTGTACTGGTAAGATCAGCAACAAAATTCTTGATCTTTGAATTTATCTCTTGGAAATTGTTTTGTACATATCACTTTTTATTACCACTGCTATTTCGAGGTCAAACATGGTTGATATCAAATAGTTAACTATGTTTGACATCTAAATAGGATATTGAAGAAGATGATCTTTATGATTGACACCATGTTTGTGTTTCTGACCTGCCCACGTCTGCAATCAAGTAAAGGCAGGGCTTGCTCACCTTTAGTGAGCAACACAACACAGTGTTCTTGAACCTCGCCAAAATGTTTTTGAAACTCACATGTTTGGTGTAGTACATTCATCATTGTACTCTGACAGTGAAATTTGCCCTACAACTAATTCCAGGGGGGTATTCAGAGGGGTATTCAGAACAACATCTTTTCAAAGTGGGCAGGCATGTGGTTCATTTGTGGCATTTTGGGGCCTTGCAAGATGTTGCAACAACCACAAGACTTAGTTAACTATATGATCCATTGAGGAAAGAGGTTCACAACATTAATGTGGGTCAATAATGCAACTTGGGACAACAGCTGCATCATGGTGGTGTTATGTTTGGTAGCTCTAATGAGAACCTGCCCCTGACCTCAGTTAAACAATCAAAGAACCTCATGATTCCGTGGCCGTGGTTTCAGGTGAGCTATGTATTTTTGGGAAGTGTGTGGAAAGTACTAAAATATTTATGATGAGAATTCAACTCCTCCACTCAAAACCCCATTTGGCTGGAGTACTTTTGGTTGGTATAGTCAGTCATAAAACATCCATTTTGCTCCTGTTTGAGCGTAAATTTTGGAAGATTTTAAAAGTCACTTTGAGATAAAAAGTCATTAATAAACCCCCCCTAAAAAACCTTCATAATCACGTAGGAACAAACACAGAAGTCTGAAAGTTCAAACTGGCTGAGATATACCCATGGCCAAAAAAGGTCAAAACACCATTTTGAACATAAAGTGCATTCAGATGTCAAACATTTTCAAATGTGTTATATAAAACTGTGATTTAATTTGATTGATGAAAATCTTTGATTTTTGCATCATCATGTTTGGATTAATATTGAACAAGATATGAAGTGTTTCTGGCCTTTGTACCACCCCGCAACATCACTAAAACTTGTGTGTGACGCTGCATACATAGAGATATGGGATTTGTGCCAAAGCAAACTCTATAAGAAATAACTTTTACCTCAACTTTCATTTTTGTAACATCATTTTTGGATAACTTTTGGCAGAGATATGCTTATGCTGAAAAACAAAAAAACACTGATTGTTCTCGAGTCAAGGCTTACCAATGGGGCCAAATTGGACCATTTTCTCGTCCTGAACTCCAATTCAACTACTTTGTGAACACTTGATTATTTTAGCTGAGGAGTCTTTAGACTTGGTGATATAATTCAATATGGTTTTTGTTCCGGCTGGATTGTACAATTGGAAGAATTTGTATTGGATCAATTCATCCCCCTTCTACATCATGTATTGAAGTCATTGCTAATTCGGGGTTGTTACTTAATAAGCTCAGGGCTTATGTCCAGATGAATCCTTGCTGTATTCATGGGAATACAGCAAATGAATCCTCTTTTCATACACGATTTAACCTGGGTGGGGTGGAGAAGGGCAAACGCCTCCACCCAGATTCATCTGCAATCAGTGACACAATCTAGACCTAGTATGATGATAACACGTGCATCAAATAATAGGTCTAGGTCTGGCTGGCAAAATCTGTCAGATTTTGCATGTATCGGTGGTATCGTTAGGTCTCTGACAATTCCAGATGTATCTGGAATGAATTATATCCCAATATTTGCCCTACATATGTAGATCAGATGGATCTGATACATCCATTCAGACCTAGTGTGATGCACGTGTTATCATCACACTAGGTCTGGCTACCCAGTTAAGTCAGATGTGTCTGGCCGCCCAGATGTATCTGGAATTGATATTAGTCAACTGGTGCCAGACCTATCCAACGGTACACTTTGCCCTGCGCAGTCAGATACATCTGATGGATGACGTAAGCCACATGTACATACATAGCGTACGTGTATATATAGCCAGATGCATCCGGGCCATTGCCCAATCGGAGATAACATTTCGCATCGCTTCATAATCCATTCCATCTTCCCCCTCCCAAATCATACTGCTCATAGTTTCTATCAAAATACCCTTCATCATGAGGTCTACACGTTCCAAGGGTTCAGTTTCAACTGCGCAGCAAGCCATCGCGGGAACAAACTCGAAATCACAACCGGCGCCAAAACGTCCGAACGAATCAAAGGGAAACTCTCGAAACCATAAGAAACGCAAAACGGCTCCAGCTCCAGCCTCAACGCAAACCAATCAACGTGAAACTCAGCCAGCTCAGTCACCCCAGTCAACTCCTCCTGCAGCACCTGGACTCAACTCCCCAGTTGATGGCACTGTCTCAAATCGCGCTCCACCTACGAAACGCAAAACGGGTCCAGCTCCAGCCTCAACGCAAACCAATCAACGTGAAACTCAGCCAGCTCAGTCACCCCAGTCCACTCCTCCTGCAGCACCTGGACTCAACTCACCAGTTGGTGGGACTGTCTCAAATCGCGCTCCACCCACCACAACAGCTGCCGAAGATGTCGAGATCTTTGACTCGACCATCACTCTGGAGAATCATCGCCAACATGGAAAAGCGTGGCCCATGACACGCCTTCAAGGAGTCGTTGATGCCCGATCCAAGACTGTATCTCGTATTCCAGTCAACATCCTTGCCGAGGCCAGACTTGCAAAGCTCCAATATCAGAAGACCAAGTTGTTCCTGGCTGCAATTGGGAAAATCAAACATAGTACACTTGAGGAAGAACTGTAAGTAAGATCTTTGTCTCTTCTTTTCAAACTTGACTTGTGTAGATGTGGATACTTATACAATCTTCATTTGATCATCAGTGGCGAAGGCAGTCCCACCCGCCCTCGTGATATATACCGCAGGTTTTTGGCTTATTCTAAGGCGGTGATCGCACTCAAAAGTACGTAAATTTCGAGTTATTGTGCAATACATTACTTGATGAACCTTCCTGATTTGTTCATATTAATAGTGCCTAAGAAAGGAGGAGGTGGTGAGACAATGAAGTTTAGGAACAAGGAAGCTGGTAGGATCTGGCGAACTTACGGTCCCGAAAAGCGTCGTGTTTTCAATCGTACCCACTTCTTTGCATTAGCTGGTATTCCCGATCTTGACAACCCGGCCAATGATGATTCAACCACACCTACTGTTCCTTTACTTAGCCCAGAGGACGAGGAAAAGTATCGGCCTATTTACGAAGAGCTTGTTGCACACGAGAAAGTCTTGAGAAAGGAAGGAAGACTACCGGCGGACAAGGATCTCAATGGGCGGTCTTTGCAGCGTGTTCGTCATCTCGCAAAAATTGTAAGTTCTATGTCGAGTTCTATCTATCTGTTATTTTACACCTTGCATCATCCTTCTCATCATTGCCATCCTATTTTAATGGATTTGACTCTGTCTAGATTGCCCGTGATGGCGAGCGGTTGAAGTTCAAATACATTTTCCTGGCTTCGAGCGCTCACACGCCAAGAAAAAACTCCGGTCCTGGATGGTCCAGAAAATACTCGGCAATACCTGCTGTCACCAATTGGGCTGATCGCGAAATTGGCCTGACTCCTGTCTTTGCAACAGTGGCTCAGGGCGAGTCAATGATCAACGCGATTTCCAAGGCTAGCCAATCGAAAAAAAGGAAGATACCTACTGGTACAATTTCCAGTAAGCTGCAACCGAGTGATCTTCTGAAGACTCGACTGGCAAACCTTGTGAATGAAAGACTTGGTATGTCCGACTTTGACCTGAATATTTGCCTTTTGCTGATATGCAATGTTTCTTTATGTGTAGTTGACGTACTGGGATACCGCCCAACTAGAGGTAAACAATTTCCTCTCACCGGTGATCCAATCGAAGGTCTTATCAAGCGCAACATTCCAGTTCGGATTGTACAACTGCCCGGATCAAAACTCAGTGAGGATGACTTGAGAGTTGGTCACAAGGCAATGACCAAGGTACATCAACAGGAATGGCTGGATGACCTGAATAGTGAGCATTTTAGGTTAGAACCGTTGGCAGCATCCGAGAAATCGAAATCTATTCAATCAAAAATTATCAAAACAAAGGATGGAAAGCGTACAAAGCGTACGAAGAAAATAAAGTCGACTGAATTCATTGACAAAGATGAGGAGGAAGACACAGAATATAGCGAAGATGAAGATGAAGAAATTGATTTGGATGAGGATGATGATGATTTAGATGATGATTTAGATGATGATCTAGATGATGATTTAGATGATGATCTAGATGATGATTTAGATGATGATGGTCCAATGGAGGAGGATGATATTGAGATCGAAGATGAGGACGACGACGGAGACAAAGAATAGTTCATCAAGATTTGTTTTCTTTTGTACTAGTTATTTTCCTAACTCCTATCTTTCAAGTTTATCTGCCAGCCCTCTATTTCTTTTTCTGCTTTTGGTTTTAACTTCTCTTGTAGCTACAGTGCTTGGCCTACCCGTTTTCAATCAAAATTGACTTCCAGCCCTCTATTTCTATTTCTGGTTTTTGTTTCTAATTTCTCTTGTAGCCGCAGTGCTTGGCGTTTTCAATTGAAATTGACTTTTGTTCAAAAAAATTTGTGCGCCACCTTTGGGAGTTAGAAAGTAAGATGGTGATGTACATGGTATTTTAACGTGAGTAGCAATGTGGATGACATTTGGATGCCTATGTATGGGTGTTCAACTAGGGCATGAGCGGCTGAGTTTCCAGATGCATCTGGGCCCAGCAGGGCGGGACAAGTGCGTCAGGGCAATCAGCTCAGCGACATCTGAGGGCAGATGCTGGCACCCAGAGGCATGCATAGACTGTTAGGCTATAGAGCTGGACAAGTCAGATTCTGATTCTTTGCGTCTTAACCAGATGCATCTGGTTATGTCAAGCACACAGGGCGGCTATCTTTATTCAGAGCATGTGCTGTGAAAATTCAGAGTGATCTGCATTTGGAAGTGAGTGAATCTCGCTGTTCAGGGGTCAGATCCATCTGAGCCAGATGCATCTGGGTATGTTACTCAGAAGACCTGGCCATCATGATTCAGAGCGTGTACTCTGAAAATTCAGAGTGATCTGCATCTGGAAGTGAGTCAATCTTGCGGTGCAAGTGTCAGATGCATCTGGCACGGATGCATCTGGGTACGTCAATCAGAAAAATGATTGAGAGCATCATGTACTCTTGAGAGTCAGATTGATCTGAATGTGCACACGGGGAGAGTCTGAATCACAATGTGTAGACATGTCAGATTCATCTGGACGCCTATAAATCCCTCTGAGTATGTGAAAAGGACAAACCTCTGGAATTGTAGTAAAAAAGTCCATATGTACTCTAGAGTGCTCCTGAGACTGTCTGAGCAATGTTTACATACTTGTTTGGTGTGGTAGAGGACTTTGACTTGGTGTTTATAAAGGTTAAGCAGATGTCTCTGTGCATCTGGGATGAATCTGTATGCAGATTTTCGGATACAAGCCAAAATGATTACTCTTTTTTTCTTTGGGTTGAGTCCGTGCATTTATTGTGACACAGGTGACGCATTGCATGATCTGCTTCAACCACTGTGGCAAGGTCACGCAACCTCAAGCGCAGATTGTATAAAGCTCCATCTTCTGCTGTGGAAGCTTCTCTAACTGATTCACCCAAGCAGTACTTGTCATAACATTCATCTACCAAGGCTTGTGCAACTCCTGGCACAGTAAAATCAAGCTTAGAATCTTTTGAAGATATGATTTGTCTGAAATAAAGGTGCAGTCAAATACTGTGAATAAAAAAAACTCTATCACCAAGTGGGAAACCACTTACTTGAGCAGGAAGACATATGTCGCCGTTTGTACTTTGTGAACAGTTTGCATCAACAGGCCAAAATCTGATTTATCAACTAGATGTTCCGGCTTTATACTCAAAGAAGCAGCACATCGAAATATACCTGGATCTGCTGAGTCTTCAATATCACCAAAGTAAGTATTGACAATGGCACTAGCAATGTTCCACATTGTGTGAGCACCAGCAAGTCCAAACGAGAGATTCTGAAGTCCTTCTTCAGCGTGTCCTGAAGGGTACCGCTTTCTAACTGCTCCTTCAAAGTTTAAGTTTGTCCCCATGTCACCTTCAACAACTTGAAACCATTTGCCAAATTGAAAGCTTTCAACACCAAGCTGCTCCAGGATTTGTTCCATCAATTGGCCAATTCCAGTTGCTGAATTGTCTGAGGCACTCATCATCTTCAACATCGTGATATTTGGAGTGTACATCTTGATTGGATCAACCACAGGTGGAGCCATCTCTAAATTAACTTTACAATAAGAATGTTCAGCACTACCCTTTTCAACACAGTGATCCAGAAAAGCCGTCGAAATCTGTGCCTTCCTCACCAGCTCGAAATGAATTTCTTCTTGTTTTGTAGGTATCATAGAATCAACTTCAACAACTTCCTTCTTACTACGCTCCATTGCATCCACAAATATGTTGAGATCAAGTTCTTCCGCTGATAAATCCTCTGTTAAATGTTCAGGTATCTCATGTAAATACCCCCAAGTTCCATGAAACATTCTGGTTTGAGCATCTACCCTTTTTTCGTGTACTCTTGCTTCAATATCAATGTTGTCAACACACCAAAAAGGTCAAATCTTGTAAGACTTTGAACCTATTTCCCTAATTTTTTTCTCAGTGGCCTTCTTCAGAGTATCCATAGCTGCTAAAGCTGTCTTTCTTGATGAAGTTAAGCCAAGCAAATGAAGGTAATCATTGACCTTTTGTGTTACCCCACACGCCAGAAACGTTATCGAATTTTGGAGCTGTAACCCGCAGTGTCGGCGATTGCAGGCAAAAGCAAGCATAGAACATAGAATTACAGGAAGCTAGAAGGTTTAAAAGGACCAGGAAATCAAATAAGTAGTATATAGGTACATTGAGAGTATTCAGTTGGTACGTACTTTCTTCATGCAATGCTCTTCCAATTGCTGATTTGTTTTTCCCATGGTTGTTGTAGACTCAAACAACTTAACACCCTTGGTATCGTCCACTGGGTTCACGGTGTTTTCTTCAGTTTCTTTGAGGCAGATCCCTTCTTCATCTAAATCCTGCTTTGTTTCTTTTCTCTTTGCCCTTTCCTTCTGTCGCATCTCTCGAGCATGCACAAGTTTGGCTGATACGAGTGAGTGTAAAAAAGGCATATGAATCTCAACTGAGCTATCTCGTCGTTTCTCTTCTTCTGGTGAAAAGAATTCATGTGTAACGTTCTTTGAGGTATGAAACATTCCATTCGGTGGGTCTCCACTGGGTAAGTTTTCTCTGATCACGATCTCCTTTGCCTAAATTTTCCAAAAAGAAAAGGTCAGTATGCATATGCTTCAAAACCCAATTAATGGACTTACCGCTTCTAAGATAAATGCAGACCATCTTTCATTTCCACTAACTCGATCTTTACAGATTAACGCCTTGAACCCGTACAAAAGTTCCCTCGTGGAAACCCAGCCCTTTTCTGTTCCCCAAGATCCACGTCTTGTCGCTATGTTTGAGTCGGTGCATGTTAACATCCCTTGAACAAACTTCTTAGAATCCAGTCCAAGCGAATTGAGGAGCTGGCAAGTGTCTTCGAGCCTCTGTGGTAATGGTGGATAGACTTTTGCGATTTTTCTTTTTGAAACGGACATTTTCAAGGTCGCTTTTGGCAAGGTCGCTCGGAGGCCCAACGGACTATGCTCTACAAACGCTGGCTTTTTGGTGTGTTTCAAGTCCCCCTTACTCTCTCTTGGTTTCTATTCATTTGTGTCCGTCTCAAACCTCAATCTCTCCACTGCCCTCGCTCTCTACACTTCCATAACTTGGCGAATTTGAAATTTCATTTCTGTATGTCTTGTGTAACAATCTCGCAGCAGAAGCATTTCGGTGAATATCTGGATGACCTTGTTTGCAGTGTTGAGAAAAAAAAAGAACAAATAAAGAAAGCGAGAAAGTTGATAGACAGAAAGATAGAGAAGAAGCAGGCGCTTCAGGCTCCCTGTTTTTTTCCAAACAGTCAATACTGGGAAGTTTGGGATAAAGGAGATCCCAGATTTCCCCTACTAAATTGCTCAACGAACCACGCCAAATGACCGGGGTAAGGAGTAAGTCCCTCGTGCCTCGGTCATCGCTTGCTATGTATAAACCCCGGCACGTGGGACTTAGTTAAGTTTGTACAAGTGTAGCCCAACGGGCCCTTAGTCTTTTTGGAAAATAATCAAAAAGAAAATCAATGAAATTGGAAAATATTTTCCTCAAACTAGAATTGTAGTTTGAATGACAACTATGTCAAACATTGCAAGAAAAAAATAGGGAGACAATGACATATAACATTGAAAATAGAAACCACACAATGAGATGTGACATACTAACTTGACACAACTTTTTTCTATTTCTACAATGGTCAATAGCACGTCTTAGCATGATTACTTACTACAACAGGCACACCCCATTACTGGTATATTGAGCTCTGGAGCTATACATTGACTGCAAAATATGCCTCAATATTTTTATGTTCCATAGAAATGTGACCTCACTGTCCAGTATCAGACACACTTTTAGAACACAGTCGGGAGACAGGAGAGCTTTGCTGCAAGGAGAATGTGCAACTTCACCTTGGCTGCTTGTTGCACACATCCAGACGAGTTTGTCACAAGTTTCTTCTTCTATTGAGCTTGAAGACGCCTTTCTGGTTACTTCCTCGGTTCGGCTGCGATGTATATTCAACTTAGAGTGTATGTTCTTTCCTGGAACGCGGGACATGTTCCAACTTGGTATGTATGAGATTGATGGGAAAAATCATCGGATACGACGCACAAGCCGCACTTGAAGCTGGGATACGATTTTTGCCTCTCTTTCAGCCAAACCGGTGCAGAAGTGCTTGAGAAAGTGGCGCACACCACATGAATTCAGACCACAATTAAATAGATATCAAAAAGTAACACCTGAAAGGAAGTGAATCAAAATTATAATGGTATAGGAATGCCTATGGCATCAACAAAAGATGATTGAGTTCAGCTCCAGTCAAACCCTTGGCGGTCTTATGAGTGTCTCAAAGTCCATCGAAGTGTGAAGACAGCTCAATTTATCAGCAGGCTGTATTGCTCCGTCACAAGCTTTGCTTTTCCCTATGGGCACAAGCAATGTATGTGTCAGTTCATAGGTCGTAGTCTGGAATCGCGGTCTCAGAATCACTGACCATGAAAGGTTCTGTACCAGCGCCAATTGTCGATATATACTCATCTGCCTCGAGTCCATATGCAGCAAGGTCACCTGTGAGGAGGCAAAGAAATGTCTCAGAAACTAAGACATGGGCTATAATCTTGTTCGACTAACCCATCAAGGGAATTAAATTCGCCGAAAAATTTGTGTATTCCTTGTCGGCAGGTGAAGGTACGAGGGAGATCACCGGTATTCCACCGACCTCACCCTTATAGACGCTAAAGGTATAACCGCCCTCTACTGTGATAGTTTTGTCATCAACCTTCGAACCCGCGGGCAAAGCACCACCGCGAGCTGAGAGCCAGATCTGTACAAGATGTCTGTAAGGTATTGAGCGATTTGAAAATCATAAGTGAAATTTACTGACCATCACTTCATGAGTTGCACAACCTCCAGCTTGACCCGAGCAGTCTTTGCTTTTAGATGTGAAGATATCATATGACTGAATATGTGGAGTGAAGAGTGGTAGAGACGATGAGCTTCTCATTTGACTCAAGCCTTGATTATCAAAAGAGTGACATACCACATCGGAGACTAGATCCTGACTGGCATCTTCGTACGACCATTTCCATGTGGTCTCAAACTTTTTTAACGCACTAATCTGCACGGGAGTACCTGCCCACCCAGCATTGCAATCTGATTGTGTCGAGCAGGTCAGTACTTTTGTTGATAACGTTTAAACTACCAAGCGGGAACACACAAGACTTTACTTGATTTTTCTTGGAATCATCCACAGGTTTCCAATCGTAGGCTGTGCTCCAGACGGTAATTCCCAAGATGTGATCATATCGATGACATTTGGTGGTTTGAAAACTATCAGGGGTCGCGGCCTGGGCTGAAAACCAGTTGCATGTCAGTAGGGAGGCCTTGTGTATTGCACCGAATTTGAACCACTCACAGCCCCAAGCATTATGGTATATGTCGAAGCGTTGAGCAATTGAATCTTTATCGAATGAGCCTTGACCTTCGGTATATTTCATTTCTTTCCCACTGCAGCCGTTAGGCACGCCTTGCCCAAAGGTGTTGAGAATATCATTGAGGAGGTTTCCGAGAGCGCCATTCAAGAGTGGGGTCCTTCGGGAAATCCGATGACTCGCATCTACACTACGACGATGTCTCCTAGTGGGGGTAAGGGCGTTTCCTTCTTCGAGCTCTGTCAGTGCTCGTCTAGAGAGACTTGGGATAGATTGAGCTAGGAGGGGCCGAAACAGAGCCAAGGAGATAGCAATTCTGAGAAATGTAGGAATTAACATCGTGGTTATGATAATATATGAGATATCTTCGAGATATGCTCCCTTGTCGCCGGGAGTGGGGATGAGAGAGAGAGAGAGAGTAGAGTGAAAGAATTGCAGACAAAGAATTCGCGCGGCGGATTCTGATAACTCTTGTGAGGCAGATTATGAAAGATGTGGGGTTTTTGAACTTCGAAAGCAATTATATTTGTGGACTCAACCAATATGCACATAGAAATACTTCGTCGCCATGCCCCACACATACACAAGGGCGCAATAGAGCTAAGCAGATGAGGCTGAAATTAAAGAGCCTTCAGTCGACAGGTATCCGTGAGATTTGTCAGGTTGTTTAGGTGGTTGTGTACTTCCTACTCTTCCATTGAGCGCCCCCCGGACGCATCTCAATTGTGGCTGTATTGAGGATTTTCTTTTCGGCTTGTAAGCCGCCGTTCAGCCAAAAGGCCTCCCTTGAGTCTTGATGAGACGCCTTTTCCCATTTCCTGCATATTCTCACCAGCGCCGATAACTCTTACAGTTCAAACTCAGACTGTCCTTGATGAATTTATGGCACATAAACTTGGCATGGGGTGAAAAATCCTATGTGACAAGGTAGTGCAACTATTCACCAATTTTTGATCCATCTGGGCAGACAAACAATTCACAAAAATCTAATGAAGCACACTTCATCAAAGATCCTAAACCTCCAAAAATCCTTTCGCGAGATAGAGCCCTTATAAAATTGTTTCCAAAGCACCAGTACCTTGAAAGCATGTGAAACCCTCAACAACTCAATGGTGTACAATTAGATATCTATTGCAGAGAGACTACATCAGAATTGTAGTTTGAAATTGAAATTGAGAAGAGCTTGTGTACCAGCTGCACCCAAGACTGCTACTTTGGTAAGACTTCAAGATGAAGATGGCCACAACCTAAAGCCCTCCTTGTGTACAACTTTGACGTCTAAATCCTTTTCTATCTCACTACAACTTCACGCAAGATGAAGTTTTTCTCGAACTCTTTGATAACTAGAAGCACGCAATATGTAATCATTGGAGTCTTTGCACTCACAGCAAACCTCTTTGTTCCATCTGATACCCTTATTTAACATCAGTTCAGAGTAAGACGAAGAAGAAATCAAAGTCCAATTATGGTAAGATATATTGTTGTAGTTCAAGATTACGTCAGATCTCCAAACCAACATCCCTCAGAGAAAGAAAGACCCATCCGACAATGATGATAATGATGATTTTTTGTAACTTATTATAAACATTTCTTTTAATAATCCGCACCAACATCATGACTATGAATCACATCATCAATCCTTAAAACAGCTCTGACAAGTTGAGTGGCCAACAAATATTGTTGTCGTTTTGAAATCAATGGATCAATCACAAATTGTTCTTTCATATCTGCATCATCAAGTTACATAAAACGAGTTAGCTTAATCTCTTGGATTGTATAAAATCATAACTCGACTTACCATTAGTTCCTTGACCAACACAATCAATACCCAAACGTGGATTCTTTTCGGAAATTTGTCGACTTTTTACATCGGCTAATGTTTCAATGGGCGACAATCCTGAGTTCTCGGCAAGAGCTAAAGGAACAGCATCTAATGCTGAGCAAAAGGCCCTCATAGCATATTGCTCAATAGTTGGGATCTGAGGAGACACGTGTGGGTCGTGACACAAAGCGAACAATGGAATACACGGATCAGTACTGGATGGTATTCACAAGTATATCACATATGAAAATAGGAATCTACCAACCTCATCAGCTGCTTTAGCAACAGCTATTGAGCAAGCAATTTCTGCAGATCCACCACCGTATACAACTCGAGAGTCAGTCACCAAGTTTCGAACTACGCAAAGTGCATCATGCAAAGCTCGTTTGGCTTCTTCTACAATCTATGATACACCTCCTCGGTCTCAGTTTATCAAGCCAACAAAAACAGTCTACCAAAAAGACGTACCATTTTGTTACTACCTCGGATGAAAACGGTCACTGCTCTTGAGTTTGCACATTCTTCGATCACCAACATCTTTTCCCTTGTTGTACCAAAGTCGATCTCTCGAACAATACCAGCTTTGCCCAACTTGGCTTCAGTCAAGTCTTCAAAACGGGGTACAATACGACCATTAGTGGCTATTGCTATCAGCTACGAAATTAAGATAGCCCATAGTCCATATGAGAGAAGCAGTTTCAGGTAAGACAACAGCAGCAGTACTAGACGTGGTTCAAATATTTAGAATGAATTGAACCGACCTCAATGTCAGGCCCACCAACCCACCTTACCGCCGGTAACTCATTCTGCAAAAGTAAATGGTTTGCCTCGTCATCGAATCCCCACTGGCAAATCACCAAATTAGCACCAACATCCTTAATCTGCTTAATCATCTGCAAAAATTTCTCTTGCTCGTAACCCATCAGTTTCTTGTATTCTTCTACATTGGTGATATCTAATTTGTGCTTGGTTTTCGGTCGAGGTGGCTCAAAAGGACATGTTAGGATAGCTAATTTACAGTCGGTCAAAGATCTTGGCATTTGAGGATGTGACATATCCTTATCGATGATAACACCTTTGATAAGTTTGGTATCTTCGAGTGAGCCTCCGACCTTTCCATCTACCTTGATGAGCTCAAAATCGACATCTTTTCGAGCAAAGTCTGCAACTGAAAGAACAGCTTCCACAGCAATCTTCGGAAACAGATCGCCAGACTTTGATACACTAGAAGATCGGTAAATAGGTTGTCAGTCCGGGTGGTAAAAAGCATTCATAGAAGAGATAATTGTAAAAGGTAATCAGGTACTAACATTTTACTACCTAGACTGGTGGCTGCAACTTTCTCAAGTTGACTCTTGTCAGATTCGCTAAACTCTAGCTGATCACTAATCTGATCGAGTTCCTGTACCGCGATAGCACAAGCCTTTTCAAACCCATCAGCAATTCGAATGGGGTGGATTCCACGATCGAGCAGAGCTTCCGATTCTTCTAGTAGAGCACCTGCGAGCACCACTACACCGGTTGTTCCATCACCGATCTGAACTCAGACAATGAAACTATTATCAGCTCAGACCCGTCAAGTATCATGCAGCACCAGTGCTCACTTCACTATCTTGTGATTGTGATAGTTGCACCATCAGTTTGGCAATCTGGTGCTCTACCTCCATCTGACTCAAGATCGTAGCACCTGACAAAGTCGATCAAGACGTTCCATACATCAGAAATTAGTATTGCCAATAAATTGGAGGATAAAAACCCTTACCGTCATTTGTCACTGTGATATCTCCATCGGGTGAGACTAGAATTTTATCAAGACCTCGAGGTCCTAAGGATGTCTTGACAATATTGGCAACTGTACGTGCGGCTAGGATATGAGACTAAGCAAATAAGCAAAAGATGACAATTGCAAATCAGTGCGTCATTTCAAGAAGTCTAGTATGTTCATGAAGCCAAAGAGCATAAAGAATTGACTAACCTTGATGGCTTCTACACCATGACTACGTGTTTTGGTCGCCTGATCTTTGATAATAATGAATGGACGTCCATACTAATTTTACACCACATGTTTCAAACATCATCTGTGAGATTCTCAGAGTAAACATCAAAGGTTTTGAAAAATTACAGACCTCGTCCGTGGCATACATTGCTTCTGCCATTTTTAAAAAACTCGATCGAAAACTTTTATCAACAGATGATCGCCTTTTCCCGTACCAAAAACAATCAAGAGGTCAATTGAAGACTTGAAGGCTTTGAAATGAATTTTTCTTCAGTCGGTTTGGTCGTACAGATTTTTCTGAGCTAAGTCAAGGGGAGTCGACTGCGTTCAGGTTGGGGTAAATAGACAGAAATGAAGTTTTCAAAAATGAAGGAGTCGAATAAGTCTTCAAGGTAATCAAACGAGATCGAAGGTTTTCAAGATCACACCCAGTCTGAGTCAGTCAATTGTCAAAAATTTAATAATGTCACGAGTAGAGATCAGTGATCTGTAACATGTCACTCAGAGTAACACTCCGGGGACTATTTGAGTTCTACATATCCTATCCTTGACATCTCATCGTCAGCTCAAGAGAACATCATCATCATCAGCCTATAGCTTTATCTTGATTGATACTAAGCCCAGCGGAAATCAAGGGGCACTCAATTTCAAAGTATTTTTTAAAAAATGCATCAGCATGCCTTCTTGAATAACATGCTAACGGTATTCATGTAGTGTGATACATATCATTACATCAAAAGAAGTGTTTTACTTCCCAGCACCGACATCATAGCGGGACTTTGAATGATTTGATCACAACACGCAGATCAATCTGAATGTCGTATAGTTGTCAAAGATCAATTGGGTAAAGAAGCCCTCCCTGGTCTAAAAGTCCCAAGACCACAAACTATGAGTGGGGCCATTGTTTCTATGATTAAACTTCTTGCATGTCATTCTTGAATCAAAGCGTATGTTACATGCGAAGAAATGAAGTTAGTTGCCTTATACTACGGCCATATTAAAAAAAACAAGAGGGTAGGTGACCATAGGTCTCCCTTTGTACACAATGGATATATTTCTTATATTTCACCCAGTGTATAGTATTTTGTTGTTGTTGAGAAGCTGCTGATTTGAAAGCATGAGTATCTTGCTCAAAGATTCGACGTAAGAAAAAAGTAAATTGTAAAACTTAGTACACATGTCTACAAATTGATTATAAAACTTGAGTCAAATGACTATTTCATATGTATCGAAAGACATCCTCTTACCTTAGCCAAGCAATGCCAGTTTATCAAGTGCGAGTAGCAGTTCTGATCGAGCTGTAACTACATCTTCATAATTCAGGGCCGATATTGCATACTTGGCGTGTTTCTGAATCACTCCAATCAAAGTTGGGTCCATCATCTGCCCTGATTGGCTGGAAGAAACTGCCCCCATGGAAGCTCTTGAGAGAACGGTTCCGGCAGATTGTTGTGGCGGTGGTAAAGGTGGGGGGAGATTATGAGTTGTTGAAGACAGACCTGTACCGGGGGGGTTGGGAGGCGATGAGATTGGATGCTGGGGTGTGATGTGTGATTGTGGGGGTTGACTGGGGAAGTGTCTCGGTGCGACCCCGATGACTGGCTCGATGGCCATCCTGCTAGGGTCGAGGTCGGGCGCCGATGGGATTGGATCTCCAGCTGTTGGTACTGATGGGAGATTATGACGAGAGTCATAGACGGGAGGGAAGACGGTGGAGGGAAAAGCAGTTTGACTTGAATTAAGGGCAATATTTGGATCCTGAAATGGGATCGGCGAGGGAAGGTGAGAGGCCGAATTCGGAGAGAGTTCGGTTGTAGGCCAAACATCAGATGTTTGTATATGCGGAGGCAGTGGAGAACTGGATGAGGAACCGGTGACAGGTGGACCTTGACTCGCATCATCCGTAGGAGCCCAATCGGTGGACTTGGCCGCCAAACTTGAGGACCCGGTGAGGGTTTGAGACTGCGAAGTACCTTCACGGATTGCCTTCACAATTGATGCAGCTTTCCATTTAGCGTATTTGATCTTCTCAAGGATCTACAGCAAACCGATAGCGGAAATCAAACCAATCTTAGTTTTTAGGATGTTTCAGTTTGCATGAAGATTGAGGGCTCACTGACATCTGCTTCGGGTTGATTGGTCAAAGAGGTAAGGACTTCCAAAAAACAAGCAGCTGCGAGGAATCTTGAAGCCGTGCTTTTGGTTGAATTGCCTTTGAGATCCTCTTGGTCAGCACCATCAAAGATCTTGAGTGCAAAATTCTCCACATAAGCCGTTGCAGCCATGTTATTGGTAATTGCATCGTGATCTGACAGGCTAGCTTTTTTCTTTCAAAGAAAACAAATTATCATTACTCAATCATCACAAAGGAAAAACTTAGAGTAGTTTGATATCACCAGTGGAACCGACCTGTTCTAGGTAATCCAATAGTTTCATCAAGAACGTCCTACTTTCTGGTTCGACAGGTTGGACAGACATACAGGTCTGAGCAGCATGGAATGAGCCTATTCATCCATCAAGATCCAGATAACCGTAGGCGAATCAAATCCAAAAGGAACCAAAACCAAGTCAATATTCCAATAGATCATCAAGTTGATCAATCTAGTTCCAAAGAGTGTTTAAGGATTTGAATGTGAAGATTTACACCAATAAGTGATCACTGGATCAACCTTTTCCATTTCCCTAGCCCGCTGAAGATAAGGCATGATGGACTTCAGTTCCAAAGGCGAAGCAGGTAAATCGGAAAGCGATATGGCGGCCATTTGTAAGGTTGATTGGTTGTCATTAATCAAAGACTGGGATTGCATGCGTGATAGGAAGAAGGGCTCAAGATAAAACTAACCAAATATTAGGTCGTTTAATCCTCTTTAAGTACAACGCCTTAACGTTTCATCCTTCTGTCCGCTGTCGTTGCTGAAAAGTGTAAAGGCTGACTTGAAAAGTTTTACGATACTTTGCCAAATTTCTTCATCTCCCTTATTATATCACATCAAACGACAAATCAGGAAATCAAGAGTCTAATTGATTATGAGTCAAACAAGAGTGGTCCTACCCGGTGATCAAATCATTCATCCGAAAACCAACTCTGGCTCTAGCTCTACCCTCAGCCTTGGACCAGGTCTTCGTCCACTCTTCACCAATTTTTCAAGTGAAAACAAACCTTCAAACGAACTTCCACCATCAATCGTCACCCGACCAGGTCTTCTTGGATCTCAAACCGTTCAGAAAAACTCTCTTCAAAGACAATGGGTAGAAGGAAATGGCAAACGTGTTCGTCAATGTCTTATTTTCAATCAATCCTTTCATCCTTTTTTCTACAGTAGATGAAGTTATCAAATCTTCTCTATATCGACTTCTTTCATTCTTCTTTTTGAAACAGAGACCAACACGTGTTTATGTCTATCGTAGTATGTTCCAGCTCTTGGTGAACCTGTGATTGGGATCATTGTCTCTCGACAGGCTGATGGGTATAAAGTGGACATTGGGTCGTCTCTTACCGCTCGATTAGACGCCCTCGCATTTGAATCAGCAACCAAAAGATCGAAACCGAATCTTAAAGTGAGGTTTTTTGCATGACTGATCTTGTCAGGATGATTACTAATGTGCGTATGGAATTCAAAAAAGATCGGAACTGTGGTCTATGCAAGGGTTTCATTAGCACTACCTTTCATCGAACCTGAACTTGAATGCATGGATCCCACAACAATGAAAGCAAATGGATTCGGTGAAATGACAGGAGGATATCTAATGCGCGATCTTGACTTGCGAAATTCCAGATTGTACGACTTTTCTTCTCTTACCCATACAACCTCAATGTGACAAAGTATAAATTAACCACTCTTTTATGGTGGTTTGACCTTATTAGGCTTCTCTCACCTCCTCAAACCCTTTTGGCAAAACTTGGACAGCAAGTCCCTTACGAGATCTCCATTGGGCTCAACGGCAGAATTTGGTTAAAAGCAAAAACTGTTTCTCAAACTATTTATTTAGTTGATCAGATCAATAGGTCATTTTCCAACTCTTCTTGATCACTCTCTTGCCAAGCACTCCTGTCGCTGTTTTCAAAGAACGTAATGTAGGATTTGTGAGCTGGATCACTTTGAAACACGTGTCTGGATGTTTCATGAATATGTTTTGTGGACATGAACATCGCAAGAGTTCATTCTGTCGTAGGACCCACTGAAGCATTGAAAAAAGAACCAACATCGTTTTCATTGTTCATTTGAGCTCCCTGCAAGGCTTTGCCCACCTGGCCTACTGGAAGCCCGATTTTTCAAAAGGGTTGATATCAAGGTTAAGCTACAAAACAAAGATACGTCTGATCTGTCGTGATCACTCAGTCTCGTAATAAGTCTGGCTACAAATGCGTCTCTGAATGATTAACATATGGCGCATTTACCACGGTGAACAGACCCGTGGTGGGTTTTACATACGAAGGCTAACAAAATGGATTCAGGTGACTGAAGCTGATGCATTTCACCTCATCATGATTTTAAGCTCGAACACCTTCGCAATTACCAATTTACCATCGAATGATGATTGAGCTCATTATCCTCTTCGTGTCATTTTTCAAAACGTTCATACTTGGTCGGTACTATTACTCGATTGCAGCGAGTAGAAATGGCTATGAGAAAGAAGCACATTGGGGATGATTTTTCCCCCCGCTGCTGTTGGCCTGCTTGTATGTGAGGATTGTGACTCAGTCTCGAGAGATCCCAAGAAGCAATCCCAATTGGTGGAGGTGAATTCATCGTTTCTGATGAATACCCTTGAAACGACACCTTTCTCGATGGTATGCGAATCTAACTTACTGAAATGTAGTCCGGCATCTGGGTTCATGAAGCGATCAGTCAGGTCGGATAAACTTGAATCCATAAACCAAGATATATACCAACTACATATCGTCACAAAGCAATCGACACCCAGTCGACTGCAAGTGAGTGCACACTACAAAGGACTCTGACGCCGGCAACGTAGAATTCGGTAACTCCCTATGGAAGCCAAAATGACCTTGTCGATAGATTCTGCAACGGATAGCATCGTAATCCGAGTGCATATAAGTTGGAGTTTTTCTTTGTTCCGCATCCGAGCCTTAATTCAAACTGGCGATTTTTTGATCCCCAGATACTCAATGATTGCTCACCTCTTTTAATTGGACTCATATTTCATATATAGAGGGAAATCGAATATTCCTCGGCCGTTCATTCTAATTTCTAACCCAATTTTCCTGTAGATCGGTTCTTTACATCACAGCATCAAATCCTCTTCTTGGAAAGCTAACAATGCAATTTGACTTAATTAGAGCTGGACTCATTTTGGTTGGGGTACAATTGCTGAGTAACGTTTCGGGTGTGCCAGTTGATGGTCCAAGTCAGGATGGAAATCTGCAAAAGGTTTATCTCCTCTTCCTGAATAAGATTGGCCAAAATGGATCTGAAATATACTGAAACGTATTTGATCACTTTGTAGTTTAAGGGTCAAATTGGGGCTCCAGCCCCCGCGGTAACCATCGGTGGGCGTGGATTTCTGGTCGCGCTCCCTAAAGGGTAAGTGGTATCTTGAACGATTTTTGAATCATGAGTGAAGGCTAATAAATGATTTAACTTCTTTATATAAACGTCTCGTCCTTGGCATCCCACCATTTTGTTAAACTTGATAAATACCAGTCCACCTGCCGAGTATACCGACGTAGCGGGAGCTCTTTCTAGATCTTGTGACGTGCAGAAAAATCTTTGCGCAAATTTTGTTAATGGTGGTAAGGGTGGTAAGGGTGATAAAAAACTAAGCGTTTCAGATTGTGAAGCTCAGTACTCCGATTGCATGAAATCTCCTACAAACCCATCAAAAAGCAATACCGACCAGGCGGCCCAAGTTCCGGTTACCTCCAACAAGTTGATTGCCAACGAAACCAAACTGGTAGAGGCAGTGAATACAGAACCACCGAGCACAGCTTCCACGAACACAACTTCCACAACCTCAGACACAACTGCGGTATCCACAAACACCACTTCAGCAGTGACGGCAGGCACAAGTGTGGCAGCCACAGATACAACTACCTCTCCCGCAAATATCACCACTTCTCCCGCAGACACAGCTACCCCTCCCACAAACATTACCACGACTCCCACAGATACTACTACACCTCCTGCAGACACAGCTACACCCCCTGCAGACACAGCTACACCTCCTGCAGAAATCACTGCTCAACCCACCAACACAACCACTCTTCCCAAGGACACAAACACTCCATCTGCCGACACAAACACTCCTCTTAAGGACACCACCACACCTCCCAAAGAGACAACTGACCCTCCAGCAAACGCTACCACTCCATCCACAGACAAATCCACACCGCCGGCAAATGCTACCACTCCTCCCACAGAGACAAATAACCCTCCTGCAAATGCTACCATTCCATCCACGGAAAAATCCACCCCGCCGGTAAATGCCACTACTCCACCTGCAGACACATCCACCCCTCCTAAAGACACAGTCACTCCATCTAAAGACAACACTCCTCCTGCAAACACAACTAACACTACCCCAGGAAGTCAGACTAGTGAAGGAAATTTCCAAACAGTGTGTTTTATCTTCTTGTCTTTCTAAATGCAGTTAACCTGCTATAGCACTAAACTGACAGTAGTGGTGGAACTATAACTGAAAAATTTAGTTTACTGGTGCACTTGGAAACATTCCAGCACCAAAGGTAGTAAAGAATGGCAACAAATTTGATGTCCTTAAGGCAAAGGGGGGGTAAGTCATGTTAATATATCCCGCATGAAATCTCACCCAAAGTCTCTGAGGTCAAGAAAGATACTGATTGAAACCCCTTACCTGATTTATAATATTTGAAACCCTTGATGAATGTGGTATCATTGCGCAAATCAATAGCAAGGCAACATTGAATGCCTTGAAGAACGCGATCGTGCGTTCTTGTGATGTACAATTCAATGCTTGTGCAGACGCATTCAACCTTAACAAAACGCCTGGGACAAGCTTGGACGCTTGCGGAAAGCAAAAGACTGACTGCCTTGCAACTGTTGATGAGTCTGTGAAGAAAGCGGGAGATACAACCGCATCACCAAGTGGCAATCCAAGTACTCCAAACACTACTCCAAGTACTCCAGATACTACACCACCTACTACATCCACCCCGCCCACAAACACAACTACCCCATCCCCAAACACAAATCCTCCTCCAACACAGTCTACTGAAGGAAATCTTCAAACAGTACGCATAACCACTATGATATTATAGATGTGAGCAAACTGTTGGAGCTTGAAACTTACAGTGGGTCTCGAAATTTCTTTTTAAAATATAGTTTACTGGGGCCCTTGGAGGTATTCCACCGCCAAAGGTTGTAAAGGGCGAAAAGAAATTTGATGTAATCAAAGCAGATGGAAGGTAAGAAACAGACACGGGAATATACAAACAGAATTATTACAAAAGGTATTTGAGTATGATTAGGAGACTGATCAGATCATCTTATATTACTTTTGATATCTTGAAATCCTCTATGAACAAAAAATATTAGTAAGGCGACTCTTGGTAGCTTGAAGAACGCACTTGTACGTTCTTGTGATGTGCAGTTCAACAAGTGTGCAGACGCCTTCAACCTCAAGAAAACTCCTGGAACAAGCCTAGACGCCTGTGGAAAGCAAAAATCTGATTGCATAGCCTCGACCGATGAGTCTGTCAAGAAAGCGGGAGATACGACTTCGTCATCGACTAGCACTTCAAGTACTACTCCCACCAATCCTCCATCTAATGCTACTACTACCCCAATCAACGCAAGTAACCCTCCCACCAACACGGCGACTCCACCCACCAACACGGCGACTCCACCCACCAACACGACCTCACCTACAGACAAAAATCCTGCGCCAAATGCCTCTACTGAAGGAAACCTTCAAACAGTATGTACAACTTCCCTCTCATCACGTATCAGAGCAACCTGGTGAATTTTTAGACTCATAGTCATCTTTGGAATTCCCTTCTTACAATACAGTTTACTGGTGCGCTTGGAGGCATCTCACCGCCAAAGGTAGTAAAGGGCGACAAGACATTTGATGTCATCAAAAAAGCTGGAGGGTAAGACGCGAGACTATATAAAAACCAAATCTGAGATTTTACACTGACTGAACTATTTTATGCGACGTCTGATGTTTTCAAAACCTCCTGAACTTTCCCCATCGTGTCGCAATTCATGAAAAATAATAGTAAGGCAACTTTGAATACTTTGAGGGACGCGCTTGTACGCTCTTGTGATGCCCAATTCAATGCCTGTGCGGACGCCTTCAACCTTAAGAAAACTCCCGGCACAAGCTTAGAGACATGTGGAAAACAAAAAACTGATTGCACAGCAACAGTTGATGAGTCTGTTAAGAAAGCGGGAGATGCGAAAGCCTGATCAAACTGTGATCGGATTTCTCCTTCCTGCGTCTGGTTTTTCCGCTTTGAACTTGACCACCCTTTATTTGTAAGTGGTGCTAATTGATACTCGCTCAAATTTGTTGTAGTGTAATATGTATATAAGTTTCCAAATTCCAATATACACCATTATAAATCTGTTTCAAAGAACAAGCCCGATACATGTATGCAAGAAAACTCTGCAGTTTGCCGGAATCATGTCTTGAAAGACTTTTGAAATCCAACTCTTACTCATGTCCTCAGGAAACAGATATTTTCATCCAAGGAGTGAACGAGACGAGCATAGAGTGCTTCTTATGAATTGTAGTGCAGATGGTGAGCAATCGCTTCCTTAGGCGACAAGTTGATCACGTCTCGCGAGGTTCTCATTCAGGTTCTTTTTGGATTCGTGCCTTCGTAGATGTGGAAGAGTTATGGAGATGACTTGATTTCAAATCTGTGAAAAAAAACAGGAACAGAAGTCCTGCTGATACAAAAAAAACTTCTGTGCTTCGTCTCAAGGATAGGAACAAAATCGATTATAACATCACTTGCATCCTTGCCTGATATTTTCAATCATCTCACGAGAACACGATTACTCGATCCTCATATCAAGCTTCAGATTCAAATATTCTCATCAACAAATCGACAACGCTTCTTTGTGTTCCCTCAATCTAGACTGATTTTCTTGAATCTCCAAATCTGCCACATTTCAACCACCCAATACCTATCTATCGACTCATATGATTATCAATCTTCCATTGGGTTTATCACTTTGCTTTACCTCCAAGAGTCCTACCCCTCCGGCTCATACTCAAGAAGAAAGTTTTACACTCGTTTCCAACACGAGTGAGAACGCACCTATCCACCCACGAAGGGCCACTATTATGGAATTCGAAAAACCAAAGGAAAATGGAAGATTGAAGGGTCATTTGAATTTCGTATATCATCATGATTGTTTTTGAATTTTTGTTCTAACTTAATCCCTTGATTCTGTTTACTTATCTAGCTTTCCTCGATCCTCGAAGTTGGTGGGCTAGCGCAGCCAATATCGCCCCACCACTCGGAAGTGCTTTTGGGAAAGCCAGGGTAATTGCGAACCAGGCAAATGCTGAAAGTTCGTTTTGCAAGTCAATATGACTTCATTTACTCTTTTTCTTTCCGATCACCAATTCAGAACTAACCAAGGTTTAAAATATGATTTTCAATATTTAAGGTGAAGAAGCAGATGAGTTTCTTGAACGTAGTAGACCTTCATCGAGGCTTAATACTAGAGACGATTGGGTCACACCCCACGAACCATCTTTCGCTGAGGTCTGTCAAGAGATCTCACAAAGATTTGATCATTCAATGAAAATATGTCAACCAGCTCGCCCAGAAGAAGTAAAGGAAGCGATATTCAGTGGAAGAATGACCAGAAAAGCGAGAGATACTTTACTTCCTAGTGGGTTTAAGACTCCACCTAGGAAACTATCAATCACGCAATTGCAAAACTATCGACGTGAAGTTTGCTCACCTTCTGCAAGTTCTCGATCCCGGTCTCCCTCTTCCTCCCCTTCCTCCTCTCAATCTTCCTCCGAGATTTCTTCTGGATTCTCATACCCTTTTCATACTCCGGAAAATAGAATTGATCCTCATAGAGCATCATTTGAAGAAGAAGAAGATAGTCTAGACTATTATCTCCGTTCTTCTTAAGACCTTTTCGGGTTTAAAGTGATGTAAGTCATCCTTTTCATACTTCTTGGCAAGAGGGTTTCATTTTTTTGATGTATCAATTGTTTTTTGGAACAGATAGAACCGATTTTTGAAAGGATAAGGAACTTCTGGGACACGGAATGATAGGGATATTTTTTTGCGATGGAGGAGTGTTTCTGTTCTGTAGAATTCCACAGGTTTTGCATGTACCAATGTTACCTTATTTTGTATCAAAATCAAGTTGTGTTTGATCCTAGTTTTTATCAATCTGCTTATCGATGATCAAGTTGAATTGAGGGAAAAGGATAATTATCCTTTCGATTCATGAAAATGAAGTCCGCATGTATCTAGATCCATTCAGACCTCGTGGAGAGCAAGTTTTGGAATAGACATCTGTATATCAGAGTTACCTAATTATAGTAACTCCAGAAGCACTGGGCGGTGGGCGGCTTTTGAAAAAACAATGGAGAGAAAAGAGAAGAAGCCAAAATAACTACTTGCAGGATTGCCAGGAATCAGCGCAAGGAGAATTTGGAGTAAGTAGAGAGGATGAAGTTTTTCCTCTCTTCTCATCTTCCAAATTCGAGTGTGTTGGAGATGTCATCACTAGTACTACCACACGTGACATCCTTGGCTGCACCTGTCACTCCTTCTACTCTCGAGAATGGAATTCAGTGTGTACATGCTCAAGTTTGGAACACTACCGAGATGTGGAGTTGTTAACAAGGTGTACAGATGCAAACGCCAAAGGGAGACCAGAGTTTCCCCTGAAAGAGTATTTGGGTGCAGCTTTGATCTGCTGTGGTGCTTTCAAGCTACATTTGTCAATCGAACTTTCAAATGGCGCATGTAAGACTCCCTCAAAATTATCAAAGATAACACCGGGCACACAAGATTCAGATAGTAAGATTGAGTACTATGTGTTACGTGTTTGCTTGGAAGTCAAGATTTAATCGATATCAAATAATTTCAAGTTTCAGGTAATGGTTTTCTCAAAGGCAACTTGAATTAAATTGACTTAAGAAGAGATAAGAAGTATGATAGATGATATGGCGCAGAAAACTGGAGCTGGGAAGAGGCAGGATGCACCCAAAATTCTGTTACATTGAAAGGATTATTATTTGTTCTGGTGCAAGATATGTTTACGTTTATTTTTTTTTGAATGTTCTAAAAGTTGAAAGGGAGGGGGATGTTCTACAAAAACAAAGTGTCGTTTTAAACGCAGAATTATAACACCTTTGTAACCATCGAGCATAACAAAGTGATACAAATGCAAAATGCTGTAATGAATTTATGGCTTCTTTGCTTCTCCTTCTTTTACTGGAGAGAGGTCTTTGGGGTCTACCTGCTTAGGAAGATTAGCCGGAAGGCGAGACTCTTCCCATTGAATTTGAGGGGACAAATCTGAGTCATCAGCTCTGGCTTCGATGATCGAACGTTTCGTGTGACGATTTCCTGACGCAGTTTCGAGATGATATGATGAAGGAAGTTCATTATCTGGATTTCTCTCTTCTACGTCCTGTTGATGGGATGACATTCCGAAGACAGTTTGACCGATAGTGTTGATGTCAATTTCCTCAGGGTGACCAAATGAAACGCACTTATCAACCATAGAAGAGCTGGAGTTCTGTAAACAGCAACAGAACAAAACGAAGGTTTAATTTTCACTGGGAGTAGTCAAGGATAGGTGGAATTTTTTACCTCAATCTTGCACTTCAACACACAACTCTCTCCATCATCACCTCCGCTGCACTTAGTGTTACTTGGAACTTGAATCGAAATCATTGGTTGGACCTTTTCTCCATCTTCAATCTCTTCTATTTTACCATTTCCCTCAAAGTTGGTATTTGCCATGAAAATTATATCACCAGTTCCAGTATCGTCAATTTGGCACATACGGATCTGAGATTCTACGAAGATGGAATGTATAAAAGATCAGGAATTCATCACAAAGATATGATGGTAGAAGGCTGAAAAAACATTCTCTCAATATTTACCTGATTGGATGTCTTTGACTCGACTCCAAACTTCGAATTTTCCTTCTGAATCGAATTTTGTCTTTGGACCGTGATCACCACCTAAAGCAATCACACAATGTACAAAAATGGATATCTCAAAAATCAGTATTGCATCCTTGAGGAATACATTGTTGTGATATGTAATCCGATAAGTGGCTTTGAGCAGGCGGTGGTGGAGACTCACCAGGATAAAAACTGTCTTGTCCCGTTTTGCCTCCTGAGACATCACAACTCGAGAGTATTCCACGATTAGCTGTAGATGATCTCAAATGAAGATGATTGAATGGACTACCAAAGACAGTCGACGTGAGAAGGACAATGAGAAGTTGGAAGAAGCTGGAACGCATGGTCAAGGATGGAGCTTTGATGATGAATAAATAAGTTCAAAGGCCTTTGGTCGGTTTCGCTCAAGTTAAGTTCAATGAGTACTGCAAAAGAAGTCGATTTGGCAAGAGGTTTCAAGATGGGAAAAGGATGAAGTTTTGTAAAAGTGAACTATTCAATCTGAAGTCGCTTTGAGAATATGATATATATTCAAACTCAGACAAATTCCTCAACTGATTGACAATCGTCACCGTCGCACTTTCTTGGGGAGTTTTTCTTACTGATTTAGTCGTTGACGACCTTATGATGAAATCGCCATGTATTTCGAGAAACCGTATCACGTAGACGAGAATGATTCGGCACAAATTTGTCTTGACAGATCTGCCTGCCTGGTTCACCTAGGCATCGCCACTATTTTGTTATGAGATCTTGAGCTGAGGAAACGATGACGTAGAGATCCTTGCAACCTTTCAAGTTGGCCGGAATGGATCAAATCTAGGCCTCCGCCTCGATGCTGAGGTTCTGTAAGTCGCTCAACGACTAGAAGGATTTGTACTCGAGTTACGAGACGCTCTAACCATTACCAGTCATAAGAGGTCATTTTGCCATTGATCTCATCAACTTACTATGCGTTTGTTATCACTTGATTCTGCCGGTGACAAAAAAGCGCTTTTGATTTTACCTGACGCACCAATTACTGCAGTAGCCTATGAGGTACCAGAAGAGGATTGTGTTGGTTTACACACGGCCATCAGTTCTTTAAAAAGAGAGCGTACACGAATTACAACCCACTCTGGCATTGCTTCAGTTACAGAAGACAGGATTGTGAGGAGACTGAAAAGGAAGAAGATAGAATAGATGTATGATAACTTATCAAATCCAATATAACTGCCCCCTAGTTTTTGTAAATGATATATCATAATCTTACATGTTTTCTATACTATAACGTATGTTCAAACAGTAAGAAACATACATACAACAAGATACCAGAATGTCCTCTAAGAACGAATACAAAAGAACTGACAAAGCAAATATATGAAGATGAATTTAATATGAAAAAACAAATCAAAATATCACTCCAGATTACAACAAACAACACCAGATCAACCATTTTTTCTTCTAGTTACTTATTAATTGAAAAAACAAATGAATAATCATGCCAAATACATAAGAACCAATTAAAAAGATCCCCCAAGGTTTTGAAAGTTTATAATTATTCAAAGGTACAACAATCAAAGTGATTAATAAGACAATTAATAAACCAATCCCTGAAATCAATAATCTTGAACTTTCTTTAAATTCATACGGGTTTCCATCATTGATTGAAATTAAATAAGTCGAGGATAATCCGATCCCTAGTAAGACATTTAACATTGGCCTGATGGTGATAAAGAGAAGATTGTGAATTTGAATACGTCAGCAAATAATCAATACTAATTTGAGAAGTGACAATCTTGACTTACCCTCCAAAACAAGCAGAGATAGCCATAACAGGAAACCCCATCCTAGCAACTAATGCAGAAATAAACAATCAGCTTCATATACAAAGCAACTTTCACTTTCATCTAGATAACAAAGACTGACCTGTGACATTAGCTACTAAATCTCCCAATGAATTTCCAACCGCAAAAATCGTAAGCCCAATAACCGCGTCACTCAATCCCAAGATCTGTCCAATAGTTTCCAAAACCCCAATCACTTCATTTACAATAGTTAAAATCCAAACCATTGAAATCGCAAATCCGACAAAACATAACACAACTTTTACAGTTTGATCTAATCTTTGAGAAATATAAATCGAAAGACTTATTCCAATCATAACCGAAGTACACCAATAGTACCATCTTTCTTCTGATAAGAGAGTTACAATCACTAAGATGGGTGATAAGTTACATTGGATGATCGATAACCAATGTGCGATTCTTTCATCTGATGGAATTCCTTCATCACCTTCTTCTTCTCCATCCATCTTGGAATTGATCACCATAATTTGTTGCCCTTCGGCTTCCTCTTCATCTTGATCATCTTGATCATACACTTCAGAGTTATCTTGTACGACTGGTATAGTAAGCGTTAAAAGTAAAATTCCTGGAGCAGAGATGATAGCTGCAAGTCGTCCAGCATGACTTTTTGACTTCCAATCTTGAATAGAGGGACATATGACTTTCAATATCAGCCACCAATATTGAACCTCTTTCTTTATTAACGGTGCCGATTCTTGATCATGTAGCTGCCTAGCGTCTCCTCTCTCTCCAATGATCATGATCGATGGTATCAATCCAGTGTTCAATGTCCTATCTTCTATCAGATCTCCTTCTTCTGCCAGCCCTCCTAGTCTGGTACTTTGGGAAAGGATTCGACTTTCTCGATTTGTTGTATGTTGAGCTACATCCTCTATCTGCGCAACTGCTCTTCTATTTGGGGTTGGCGAGTCCGTTCCATTGAATCCCAACCAAGGGAATCCACTCGGGGGCGGTATATCATCAGAGGCTTGAGCAGGTAGCGATCGGGCCCAATCATTTCCCCATTTGAAGAGACTTGTACCGGCAGCAGCACTCTGTGAGGCGCGATGTCCCATCCGTCTACCGTAGGACAGATTTGCGGTTGGACTCTTGTTTGGCTCGAGCAAATTAGAAGGACTGAGAGGCGAAACAGGTGATTGAGAGACTACGAGAGATGGAGAACTATTAAGAGGTATTGGAAATGCACAGCTATGACTACCAGATCGTTTACGATTGAATTCAAGACTAGGATCAGAGATTGCTGGTCGAGCTGGACCAATACTAGCAGATAATCTTGGTCGCGAGGTAAACTGAGCCAGAGATTCGGCACGCGAGTCTCGGTTGAGAGAGTTAACCACATCACGAAACTCGATAGCACCAAGGATACTTGAACGAATCGCAGGCGAACTGTTGATCGGTTTACTTCTTCGTCTTGTATGAGTCTGTCCGTATTCCACATCTGTTATACGGTGCTCATTTGGAGGTCTTGAGATGGCAAAGACAGGGCTTAAAAAACCTATACCGTGTTGGTGAGCTTTGTATGAGAGTGAAGGAGCTCGCATGCGACGGTTATGTAAATTAGGAAGATTGAGATTAGAAGTTGCTTCTGTCAAAAACTCTTCGGAATGCGATGAGATCGCATCTTGATTATCATTGAGATGGGTGGAGAAATTCAGGATGGGAGAATCGGCTGGAATTGGAAGAAGACGCGGGGAGCCATTCGGTCGCGGGGAACCGATAGGAGTAGTTGACGTCAGAAGGACGCTCTCAGGCGAATATCCACCCGGTTGAATGGGAAAATCGGCTTAAGGTGTTGAAAGAAATGAGAAGACGACCACAAATCGAAAAAAGGAGTATCAGTGGATCAATTTGAAGCCAGATTAAAGATCTTTCATCAAGAGAACTGACGATCATCTTGATAAGGTTCGATTTCTTCGCCATCATCAGCATATTCATTCCGAACCTTTCTTATCAATTCTCTTCTCCTATGTTGACGTTCAATCCACCAAGTACCGAATCCGACAACGAAGACATAAGTAACATAAAGTATGATGAGGGCAGTAGCTTCCCAACGCACAATTCGACCGTCATGGATGATGTAAAGCACAAAGGCGATGGCAAATGTGAAGAAGCCTACATCACGCAAGAAAGAGTGTCGAGGGACTCTGAAAGGACAAGCGAGTACCATTGAGCCAGCTACGACAGAGACGATAAAGGAAGCTGCGCCAATCAGTTCACCAATTGCTAAAGAGCCATTTCCAGATTTCATTGCAGCGAAAGTTGAAAATACATCTGGAGCGCCATTACCGAGACCAAGGAACGCTGAAGTGATAAATTTTTGAGAGACCGCATTTTGAATGAGTTCAACAAGAAATCAAGGGGAAATATAAAGTAGGGATCAAAAAGACTCAACTAACACCAGCAACAGACTCCGGTAATCCTAAACTCGAAGAAATTGTCGATAGGTTTGGACAGAAGAAGTCAGAGGCCACGATCCCGACGAAAGCGAATAAGAAGAGTGACCAAAATATCAAGAGAAATAAACCAAGAGGCTTCAGAGTGTTTGAGAGTGCTGAGTAAAGCTTGAGATAAGGTATTGATCCAGGAGGTTGCTCATGCTCAATTGGGATTGGCAATGGCAATGGCGCTGGCACTGGCGTTGGCAATGGCACTTGATGTGAAGCTGAAGTTGAGATTTTGTTTGAAGTTAGGTTCGAAGTAGGATATGTTTGAATCGATCTTTTCTTGATTGAGACTCGATGTAATCTGATTAGCAGAGAAGTTGATGATAGTCTCTTGGCAGTTGTCGAATGAGAATAAAAAGTTGAGATTAAGTTGATGGTAAATATGATCGAAACCGTCAAAAGGGTTGAGATAGTTGATGGCTTGTTTAAATTTCTTTTGCTGATAAGGGGTTTCATTTTCTATTCTGAGTGATTGGTTGATTCTTTGTGGTTGTTCCTTGCTGAGCAGCTCTTGCTGAGCGCTTCTCGAGCTTGTTGAATCTTGATGTCATAGTATCCGATCATATCCCACCCGAATCCGAGTTCCGCCTGATTATATCGTGGCCCGGCCCGCGGCAGCATCAGGTGGGCACAGGGCTTTATCAAGAAGATTATTACATGTATACTTAATAGTAATTTTGATTTTTGAACTGATCAAAAAAAGGCAAGAGGATGGAAAGATCTTGCAATGAGATTAGAAGAAGCTACGTGAGAGGCTAAACTGACCAAGTCCACCTTTGAGGCGTACAAAAATAAAAGAACAAGGGTGTATAAGTTAGTGTGAGAGGCAATAAGCAGTCAAAATCACTATTTTTGCAAAATCAGCCGTTTATGTGTCCTACTGGGTGGGATGTGCCCATGCAACTTCAGAGGTTGCTACCAAGACTCCTGCCAAAGAAGTAGAAGTAGAAGATGTGATGTAAGATGTGACGACAACCACAATTATGAGTTCAGATTCAGGCCATTCAGTAAACATTAGGTAAACTTAGCTACTTAGGGTTTTGCAAAAAAAACAGCTTGGATGCTCTGACCCCTGGTTTACTTGTTTTTAACCTGAAAAAATATATATGACAAACACTCCTTTTTCTAGTTTGAGCTCAGAATGATGATGTTGATGACTAAAAAAGTGGTGATTCTGGGGCAATGCAGGACCAAACACCAAAACAAGAGAGATGCCACAAAGACATTGATGTATATACCACACTGTGCACAAAAGCAACATCATGGGGTAAGCTTAGGTCATTGCACTAAAGACTTTCAATCTGGATACAAAATCATTGAACCCAAACTTCAACATCTCACTTTTGCACAACTCATGAGGAGCATGTTGGAAGAATGTCATGATCTATTATCATCCATCTGCATGTAACAACTGTTGAAAATATTATCATACATCCTTCAAATAAAGACATCAAAACTTACCAATTACCTCAGAAATATACAAAAATCCAAGTGGATTTCTATAGATCATCACCACATCAAAAGGCTTGATACTTAGGTGAATACTAAAAACTTTCATACATAAACAATCTTAATAAGGAAAAAACTGAAGATAACCTAGAAGGTCAATCATGCCTTTTATTATCATGTTTACAAAGCAATATATGTATCAATTATAATTCATTTGTATAATTATTTAAATAGTAATTATGACCAAGCTGAGAAAATATGATCCTTTATCTTCCAAATCAAGCCTTTATTTCTCTCTTCAAGTTCCAAGTTCAATTCACATCTTCTCTCAAAACAAAGCATCATCCTTTTCCTTGTTTTTGAATCAATACCATGATTAGTAATCTTCTTTTTGATTATTGGAATCATATCAAATTTTAGGTCTTTAAAATTCTTCAAATTTAAACTTTCACCAATTTTATTCATTAAAATCACTGGCGCACTTGAATCACTCCAAATCAATAAATCTCCTCCTGACCACCATGTTCTTTCTGAGGATATACCTATGTGATTTAACAACCCTGGATGTAAATATAGGCAAGCTTTGTCAGTTGCCAAAATCAATTCCTTCAAATTAGATTGATAGATCTTCCATAGTTTGGGTTTACTGCGTAACCAATTCTTCTCCGGTGAATCTTCCCAATCACACCCATATACTGGATACTTTTGGGGGTCTCTTTGCCTATTCTGTAATATACAGTCCAGCTCTCTGTTGAGACTTACAAGCTTGGATTCATCTAATACTAAAAGTGTTTTTTTGAAAGCTTGAGGGTTATCAAAGCACAGAGCATCACCTAGTCGGATGAGGTCCATGACATAGATTCCTTGTCTTCTGGCTTCACTCATTTCAGATACATCCCACCAAATTGGCTTGGATCCACGGGAGATCATGTAATGAATCAATTCATTCCTTGTGTCTAGCTCTTTTCCCAAAACCATCTTCAATGTGTCAAACTTCTCTCCAATTTGAGGTATTGAGCTTAACTCCTTTTTGACACATATCTCAAAGCTTTCATTCAAATGGGAGAAGGTTGGCCAAGGACTCTCAACTTGAAAAATCAAACAAAGCCACTGAACTACTTGAGCATCAAGGTGTGGATGATAATCTTTCCAGCTTTCATCAATCATAAATTGACTTTGCTGATGAGCAAGGACTTGTGTCCTTCTTTGAACCTCATTTTTAGGTAAATTTGAGTGATGGATGATATGTGATGGTATAGATTCCCATCTAAAGTCACTAAAAGCCTTCAATTTTTCATGCAAGCTCAAAGTAAGATCCATTGAGCAGAACTCAGTTTCATTGTGAGTTTGATACAACCCACAAAGCAGCTCCATCAATTCAGGCTTCATTCCTTCTTCTTGATGAAAATTTTTATCAACAGTCTGAGCAAGGTTTGCAGTGCCTCTTAGATTATCTTGATTATCTTTTGAAAGAGGGTTGGCAATTAAAGCCTTGAATGTTTTTCTCTTCTTTTTTCTTTGCTGTGATTGGTTCTCAATTAGTTGTGAGGCATTTTTGGAATCAAGATGATGAAAACCTTCCTGTTCATTGAAATCCTTTGAAGGTTCATCATCATACTCTTTAGTGTATCTTAGACCTATCTCAGTAGCTTGAGTAGCTATTTCACCTGCAACTTCCACAAGTTTGTGGGGGGCATTCCAAATTTGATGTCCAATAACCTTTCCAACTTGTGAAATCATAGTATATATCCATTGAACAAATTTGTTCGTATGTGGCCCAGTCATTGAAAGTTTTTGGAAGGCATCAAGCAGTGTTGTAGATGAGCCTTGGTGCAAGGAGTTTTCAACAGGCATAACTGGAGGGTAGATATTTTTGCTTTTAACCTTTTTTCTCATGTTGAACTTTGTGTTAGAAGATCTGATACTACTAGGTACCACAATTTTCATATTCTCATCATTATTTGCAATATGTTCATTCTTGATTGACTGGGCATTCATTCCAGTATCTCTGATTCTAACCACAAAATAAAAGTGTAATTTAGAGGTTACTGTTGTTTTCTGAATGGATAAAGATAGAGACCACATTTTTACAGGAGCTCACCTTGAGATTGAAGACAAAGAAGCCTTTGATGGACCAGTTTTTGAAGTCTTTTGAGAAATTGTAGCTTCACTCTCCAAATCTTCAATTTCTTGGAGAACTCCAAGAGACTTCATAGAGTTGTTGACTGGATTCTTTGAATGAAATTTTTCACTAGTAGATTCCAATGATAAACTTCCTTTATTTGATTTATGAATTGAATCAAATAAGTACTTATCAGATATTTTGTTGGAATCCTCCTTGTACCTGGAAGGTGATCCAGTTTTCTTTGAGCTGATTTTGATCCCTGGGGTACCATGACCAACCAAAGTTGATAATTCATTGTATGTTAAAGGCTTTTTTGCTTCAATGTTTGTTTCACATGATTTGTCTGTGGAACATTTAGTCTTCTCTGAACTCAAATATTCCAAGATGGGATTTTTCCCTTTATTGAGTTTACCCGACCATTGATTTTGTTGTCCAAAAGATGATCGAAGAGGTGGAAACTCATGTGCACTGTTGAGATTGAAATTTGAAATTTTCTGGGGTGTGGTATTGTAAATCTGGAGACTATCCTCCCTGGTATGGATAGGTTCTGAAGGATTTTGTGCCATCTTTTGGACCAACTTTGACGCAAACAACCCCTTTGGTGTTACCTTTTTATTAGCTTCTGAATCTAGCCATTCATTATACTCTGAATCCAAATCTTTTCTGGCAGAATAATCTGCTTCCTCATTTGATTTGTTGAGAGTTTCACCTTTGAATCCGCTCTCTAGCAGATCCCTTTGAGTATGAAATGTTAGTATTATATTTCAGCATCTGAAATTCTTTCAAAAAAGGTTCTTGAGATCACAACCTTTATAAAATGAAAAAAATGAAGTGCACTACGCACATATTATGGTGATTTTTAGTTTCAGAAGTCATTTTGTCAATTTTCAAGGATTCCAGATTGTGAGTAACACTGTTTGACTCAGTTTGCAATTGTGGTTGTTTTCCTTTTCCTGACTTGCTAGATGTTGATGTCATATGCCTATTGTCTGATGAAGATACAATGTTAGGTCTGTGATTGAGTTGGCTAAGAAGTTTTGAAGTGTCTTCTTTTTCATTTAGAGGGATTCGTGGAAATATCTCCTACCCGGTTCCATTTTATTGGAGTTGGGTTCAAATTGGCTTTCTGGCCTGCGTGGTCTTTCTGAACGTTTGATTGCTGAGATACTTTCAAGTTTAGATCCCTTGTCCAGATGGAGATTTGTTGCACCTGGATACTGTACTGGTCTCAGAGCTTCTGATCCTGATGGTGGATAGAAGTTGAACTCATTTTCACCTTGCAGTGTATTTTCTAATGGAGCTTGTGGTATGCAAGCAAAATGAGGGTCCATTGGTGAGGGATAGCAGGTATTCAATAGATATCCTGACCCATTCCATTCATATGTAAATGAAGGCTAGTGAGAAAACATCAAGTTAACATCAGTTTTTAATAATAATAGTATGTGTAATGTAAATATGATTCCTTCAAACTTACCATGCTCACTGGAACTGCGTAAACTAATGTCCCGACCATATACTGTGTAGGGTAACCATATTGAAAAAAATACTGGTTGGGGGGTGTAATTGAAGGTGGAAAGTGTTGTGCATAGCTCCCTGAGAGAGGGGAATGGAGTAAAGATCCTGGTTGGTGAGACCCATATATGGGTTGAAGATTCCAGTGTGCATTCTCAAAAACAGGAATATTTACATGTGGGGTATTTGATGAGCCAATGTACGCTGCCTTTGGATATATCTATTGATCAGCTACCTATTCGGTGGGTGAGCTACAAGATGTGATGGCCAAATATGCTCACTGGGTAATATGGCCAAGCATATGGTTGCGGCTGGAAATACTCCATGGTTGCACTATCATGAGCAGGAAAATTGTACCCGTGTGGTTTGTACTCGTGCAATGATTCTGAGGGAGTTGTGTGTTGCGGGAAGCTACTGATGTGTTCCGACGCATTGGTAGAAATTTGCGAAGGGACCGGTCCACGTGTTGTTGGTACTGTTGGAGCGATGTTAGCTGGTGCTGTTGGAATATTGAATTCTCCAACCTGAAATAACGGCATCAGTGTGTCTTTTTCTGTTTCTGTTTCTGACTTTGCTGGTTTGAGCGGCCTAGAGGTGGAGTCCAAGGCGACATTTTCCTCCTTGGAACAAGTAGATTTAGGATTATGATGTTCAGCAGGATTTTGTTCCCTCTTGGTTCTTGTACTCTTTTCGAAGTCCTTGGTTAAGAAATTCAACACGACGTGATAAGTCAATGACTCATATAGGTAGCAAAAATGGATCATTCTATTGAGAGTACGCACAGCTCGTGGAAGGGACTCGAAAGTACTCTTCTTCAAGGGCGGGACCTCGGTATCATGATCTGGACAATGCAAATTCGAGACTCCCTTTTGTTGTTGCCCTCTCTCATGGTCAGAAGATGTAAATGTTTGTAGCTTTTTTGCCTCCGAACAGGTTTCTTGAGGAAATTCGCACGATATAGGTAGATGACCTTTCTCATCCAACAAATGCAAAGTTTCGGTTATCGGTTGCGAATGCTCTGACTCCGCCTCCAATACGCCTTTGGGAAGCGGCGCAAAGCAATGATTTGGTATCAGCAAGGCAGAAAACAGGGAATAAGACAAGATCTTCATCTTTCTTCATCAACAAACCCCTTGAGGTGTCAGAAAGGTAGGCGGCGGTCTAATTTTATAAGAGGTTTTGTATATTATTAACGTCGATGGTGACCAGAAACGCGGGGCAATAGTGAAAAACAAAACCTGAAAAAGCGAAATGACATGGATCACAAAACTTGTCTGAGTTCCACGCCGACGACCGGCTGCACATCGACCAACGGCGGTGGTCGGCGTGCGACATAGTTAAGTTTAATGCATCATAGGAATTCTCAAACTCAACTAGGATTCTCCGAATAAGCTCTGAATAAGCTCTACGAAGAAGCTATGCAGATGAGGTACATACACAGAACAAAACACGACATTTTCTGCATGACGCCATCCATCCGATCTTATGTGGCGAAGCCCTCACCCGGCCCCCAATCCTGGTATCATCTACTACGGGGTTTCAAGTTTGTCTTTTTACGTATTTTTAGGTTTCGGAAACTTGCCCGGAGTTGTGAATTTTAGAGCAGGCGCGAGGAATATATACGATATCCACTGGATATGGGCTGGATACGAGATTCTGCTGTATAGTTTCGGATATAGTTAAATCCGGGTTCACGCATCCCCTATGAGCCCCTATGTACCTCGTCCTTGTCTTGGAACTTTGACTGGGCTGCACTGCTCGCAGTGCCGCTCCTTTGGGAAGAAACATACATAGGTGACCTACTCCTTCAATGACTGTTTGAAGTACTGTTTTTTTGTTTTTGAAGTCAGATTGATGTGAGAAGAGCTTTTAAGCACAACAGTCCACATCTTGACCTTTGAGTGGAGCAGGCTGATCATGGAGTCAATGAAATCTTGGTGATCTGGTGTTTCAAAATTTTGAATGAGTCATTCAGCCCGAATACATATGATCTTCTCCTTGGCAAGTCCACTGAGTTTATTGTGTTTGAACTCAGGACTGAGCTGTTTTGAGACCTGGTGAGGCACATTTGTTGTTATGAAAGTCCCATGATCCCCGCTCAATAAGCCCTTGCTGTACACCTTTAGGCTCATCTGATAACTTGAGATCAGGTTTGTTCTTCATTTTCTTGATGCCAAGATAATCCAGAGGGAAGTTCATCTAACTTGTCCGCAATGACCTGGGATTGAGATTGTCTGTGGGAATAATTGTAGTTCAAAGTTGAGGCTGTCCACCAGCAGAGCCCATATTCATCTTTTCAACTTGGACCAGAGCAAATGAAGTAGACAAGAAGTCAAAGATGAAGAGAGCTTGGCACCCAGAGTTCAGATAAGTGAACATTGGAATTTCTCACCCTTTGATTTGTCCTTGATTTTGGAGGCAATTCCAGTATGCATCCCCATTTACTCCGGGATAGATCACAACAGCGCCCTCCTTGAATGGAAGCAGGCAGTCAGAATCCTTGCATACAGCAAGTCTGCCATGTTTCTTTTTGATTAAGTCTGAGGTGTGAATCAGCTTCCCATCCCCCTTACTCTTGAAAGCACAGTTGTTCTCTGCAAACTAATGCTTCAGAGGTTCTTTGTGAGAGTGGATTGTAAACTTGTCTTGGTAGACATGCACAATCCCCCAATCAGATCCTTTGAGTTCAGGATACACAGGTAAATCACATTTCTTGCTGCTGTAATAGACCTCACACTTCCAGAGTTCTTTGACCTAGTTACAGCACTTGTATTAATATATTATTACGTCAGCATGTTTGTGCCCATAATAATAGAGGCCTTTTGAGCATGCCTTGACAGTGAGACCCAGCTTATTTATCCATTGTTCAGCTGTTCTGTCACATCAGTATGCTTTTCAAATCAAGGTGAAATTACACCAACAAGATGAAGTACAAGCATTCTAGGCGAGACCTAATCAGAGGATGAAAGAAAATCAGTTGATTCTGAAATTCACAAGTCAAGATGAAATGATTCACTGAACTTGCCAGCCTTGTGAGTAGTTATCCATTCAAAGATTGCTTGGAAAACTTCTGGATTGTTGGTAACTGAATAGTGTCTAGTGGATAAGCCAGGTTCCCTGGTTGTTAATTGTTATGAGCTCAAACATCAGATGCTTGTTTTCTTAATCTCTGAGCATGACCCTTTCTGATTTCAGATACTGATGGAAGTTTCCTCTTTTGACAAAGAGACAATTTGACTGCTTCCGTTGAGGCACCCATTGAAAAAGTCACTTTGCTGGCAGGTTAAGAGACTGACTGATAAACCAAAATTGTTACACCCCTTTAGATGAGCTACAAAAACAAAAATCCTTAGCGTCTTCTATTACTCTGGCGACTGATTCTCTTTCCTTCGATAGGTTCAATAATGTTTCAGGTTCTATATCACGTAAGGCTTCAAGATAGTTTTTCTCGTATTCTTCTAGATCAATTCATCCATCTTCAGTAGGTCCATCGAGGCTTTCTGAAGATTCCTTGGATGCTCTATAAATCTGACTGTTGGCATCTGAGAAAGGAGTGATGAAAGGCTTCTCTTCTTGAAGCTTGTGATCTTGAAACGGAGGGATGAATGAATCTAGAGAAGGGGAGTCAGGGAAGAAAGGAAGATGGTCCATAACAAGTAAGTCGGGGCTCTTCTTAATTCCTGAATTGTGGTTACGGTTGTTTGACTATTGAGATGGTTTATTGCGGCAAGTCTTGGTAGTGTGTCCTTTCTTGTGGCAGCGGTAACATTCGATATTTGCCATTGAGGAGGAGTCAATCGAGTCTAGGTCCATTGGTCCTGATTCATTAGTAACTGCATGAGGTTTACCAAAGAGATTAGGTGATCAATGGTTGTTTCAGTAAGAATTGAAAGGTTTCTTCTCAAAGTTCTTGTGATGAGAGCTAGAGGGTTTGTGATGATCTTGAGTTTTGAAACTTTGGTTATTGATTTTTACGGTTCTCTCAGCTTCTCTTGCAGCTGAGTAAATCAATTCCATGTCTTTAATAGTTCTAATGTCACCTTTATTGTTGATCTTCTCTCTAAAGTGAGCTGGGAGTTTATCAATGAAGTTGAATTAGCGGGATTCAAAGGTCACAACATCTAAAGGTAAGTAAGCCATTAATCTTTGGAATCTCAAGATATAATCATTCATGTCTCCTTTATAACAACCCTGGGCCAGCAACGCACATGTTGCATGCTGCTCTGCGGGTGTGTTGCACTTTTCATGGCCAGCACCGCACCGCAGACCTTGCCGTGTTGTTGGGGTCCAACCCGCGGCGCGACAGAGCCCTTGAAATCTGTAATTTTTTTGTACCACAACAAATCATGATGTGTTGCAGTAATGCCCCGCAGGCAGCTGCTGTTGCAGGCCGGATCCTCCTTGGGATCATTCTTTGTCAGCTTGCCCAATCAGGCAATCAGCTCACCTTGTTTCACGCTAAACTCATCAATTGAGAGACCAATCATCGCCTAATCAAGCACCTCGTGATGCATTGGTTTGTTCAAGACAGGAGCCACGCTGGGCACAACTGGAAGGGAATGTATAAGGATAAGGTGAGTTCCTTTCGATTTCAATTTTGTCCCATCCAAATTGTTTCCTTATGTTCATTTCTGTTCCATCCGATTTCTCCTCAACTTTACAATCCGATATCATCCTTTTAAAAACATTCCATCTTTTCTTCTGATCCCATTACCTTGCTTCAATATCATCCCTGGTTCACATCTTCACAGTGTCATTTTACTAGTCACTGGCAGGCCAGTGAGTTCCATTCACCTCAATTCAATGTCAATTCAATGTCAGTTCAATGTCAGTTTGACCTCCAATTATGTTTGAGTGGGGGATATGCATGGGCTGCATAATCACACAAACCTTCCAGACATTCTGACACCTTCATGTGTGGACATGCAACCAAACTTTATTCCAGTTCATTCTGGAAGGTTATTTGTCTGCTACTCTAGGCCAAACATTGAGTTTGGATTGATATTGAACTGACATGGATTTGAGATTGGATTGAGATTGGATTGAGGTGAACGTACTCACTGGCCTGCCAGTGAGTAGTAAAATGACAATGTGCTTAGATATACATCATTGCCAACTTCTTATCGCAGGCTCCTTCCACTCCCCATCTCTCTCTCTTACCTATTCAAATCACCACCAGCAAACATAGAATGTCGTCCGCCGGATCACAGACCCCTAGCCGCTCAATTTGCTCCAGAAAGCAGGTCCGCCACTCGGGAATGATCAGATCAACTCCTGATTCTTGTCAACGTATGAGCATTTGATGTTGAACAACCTGTGATACCCAAAACAAAGCGAAAAGCACCAACCGACAATACCAAGGCTGAGTTGGATGCTTCAGCTGTTCTTCAGCCTTCCAGAAAGAAACACCAGCCGGTTAGTGACTCGGAAACAGAATTGATTATCAGCGTTCAGACAACCCAAAAGAAGAATAATCAAAGGGCAACTGCCAAGTCTCAGCAGACTCGGAACAAAAAGAAAGCAGCACAGGCGCCTCTACCAGATGATGTGAGCTTTTGCATTTCTACTAGTTTAGTTATATTGGATTACTAACTCAGACTGTTGATTCGTGCAGCAAATATCCTCCAATGTCACCAAGGAGATGCTTCGGGACAATTCTGACGTGGAGATTACTGGCGTAATCCAGCGACCATCACGCAAGGTAGACAACGGCAATGATGAATTAACCGAATTGCGCGCTTACTATCATCCTCCAACGTACGGAAAGAAAGACATAAGTATATTTCTAAGTGTTTCTTTTTTAAGATGATTTCCACTTCTATTTCATTTTCTGGATAATTCAATTACTGACCATCGATTTATCCATACTTGCTGATCTTTTTCATAGGACCAATCACAGTGTCATTTTACTACTCACTGGCAGGCCAGTGAGTACGTCCACTTCAATCCAATCTCAATCCAATCTCAAATCCATGTCAGTTCAATATCAATCCGATCTCAATGTTTGGCCTAGAGTAGCAGACAAACAACCTTCCAGAATGAACTGGAATAAAGTTTGGTTGCATGTCCACTCATGAAGGTGTCAGAATGTCTGGAAGGTTTGAGTGATTAT